CCTGAGCCTCCTTTTCTCCAGCCTCAGCCCCTTTCCCAGCTCCCTCAGCCCCTCCTGGGGCTCCAGCCCCTTCCCAGCTCCCTTCCCTGCCCTGGACACCTCCAGCCCCTCCAGGGCTCTCCTGCAGGAGCCACAACTGGACACAGCCCTCGAGGGGCCTCAGCAGTGCTGAGTTATTTAAATCACAGCATTTCAAATTATCCTTTCTTAGCAGCTGTTTCAGATGCAACCAATTCCCCCTAAATCTCCTGGGATGGATCCTTCACTAAGAGGCCACCCCAGGTTTTTTTCAGGACATTGGGATCAAACTCATCTCCAGCATCTGCAATGCCCCATCCCATTTCTCAGCTATTTTCAAAGATTTCAGCACATCTGGAATTTCTCAAGCAGACCAGTGTGGCCATTTCCTGGCAGGGCAGAGCACTTCCCTCTGAGGTGCATTGGAGGGGCTGGAACGAGCCTGGGCAGCCCCACTGGCAAAACCTGAGGCACTTTAGTGGTGGAATTGTCCTCTCTGGAATGTTCAAAGAAGGTGTGGATGTGACACTTGAGGATTTGTTTCACTGGTGCTGGTTCCAACCTCAACCATTCCATGAGTCACTGATTCCACCAATCCCTTCCCAGAGGCTGCTTGGGGACAGCAAAATCCTACACGGGAGGGCAAGAATGCATCCAAAAATGTAAATCACAGAGTTAACCAAGCCCTGGCACGGTTCAGAACACATCAGGAAACTAAATGTCACCTCTGGATTGTGACCCAGGGCCTGTCTGCAGCAGCCCCAGCTCCAGGCAGAAGGAACTGCAGAGCCCCATTCCCCAGGGAATGGCACAAATCAAGGTGCTGGGCAGGCACTTCACTTGGAACCAGGAATGTGGGAACCAAGTGCAGTGTTTTAAACGTTCCAACCTTTTATCAAACAACATTTCATTATTTTTTCACTTTCATTTGGCAGAGGGACAGCTCCAATCTCTGCTCCTGGCACAGGGACAGCACCCAGGGAGAGGCTGGAGCTGTGCCAGGAGGGATTTAGGATGGATTTTAGGGCAAGGCTCTTCCCCCAGAGGGTGCTGGCACTGCCCAGGCTCCCCAGGGAATGGGCACAGAGCTCCAGGAGCTGCCAGGGATGCCCAGGCTGGGATTTTATGGGGTCTGGGCAGGGCAGGGTGGGACTGGGTGATCCCTGGGGGTCCCTCCAGCTCAGTTCAAATGTTTTGCTCATTAAAGTCCCCAAGTGGGCAGTGAAGCCTTGGTGGAAGCATTTTCATTTTTAATTGCACCAGGACCGTGTCCTGAAGCCCAAAGGTGACCTGAGCACCAGGTGAGCTGAGGAGAACTTTGTTCCCTGCTGTCTGTGCCAATTCAGCTGATGCAGTGATATCTGAGCTATATTGTTCCTGAATCTACTGGAGTTATCTGAGCTAAAGTTAAGAACAAGTCATTTGTCATCTGAATTTACTGCACAGAAGTTGCTATTTAACAAGTTAAATAGCTGGAGTCAATAACCACAAAGAACTAAAATTGGTTTTAAAGCACCAGAGAACAAAACCAGAATTTCAGTCATTTTGGTAATGGGAATAAAGTGTGCTCAGGGAGCTCATGGGGACAGAAAGTGAAGTCACTAAAGCTCCAAAAGAATTGAAGTTTTAATAAAACTGATCCTGAATATAAAGCAAAATCTTCTTGATAAGCCCACGTTTCAGACTTAAGAGTTGTCTTGGACAGATTTCAAGTGTTGAAAAGAACAAATTCTCTGAAAGAACATCCATGGGAATTCTTTGTCAGCAGTTGAATACAGAGAGAATTCCCACAAGCAGTAAAAACAGTGAAGAATAAAATCCAGCAGCAGTGTCTGCAATTCCAGTTTCCTCTCCAGCCCTCACTCCTGTGCAACAGCAGAAGGCAGCTGGCACAGGGCAGTGAATACAAAGAACCAATTCACAGAAGCCCAGGATGATTTGGGATGATTTGGGGGGGGGAGGGATTTTAAGGATCACCCAGAGCCACCCCTGCCATGGCAGGGACACCTCCCAGTATCCCAGTGTCCAACCTGGAACTGAACATTCCAGGGATCCAGGGGCAGCCACAGCTGCTCTGGGCAGCCACTGTCAGATTCCCTTTCTCATATATTGAATTTATATGTATTTATATCCATTAACACAAGTGCAGACAGGTAAAGCAGTGACTGCACTGCCTTGTTCTCTGCAGCTCAGGGAGAATCCCTGGTGAGGAAGAGGAGGATGATGATGATGATGATGATGATGATGATGATGATGATGATGATGAAACACTCCCTGCTGAGCTACCAGGGCACCTTTAGGGACTCCTGGAGGAATTGCAGGGATTTCCCCATCTGTCACTTCAGCCACAAGGGAGTGTCTGGGACTCTGGACATGAGATTTATTTGGCTCTTCTGCCACAAGCAGTGCCTGGGGTGTGCTCAGGGTGGAGATTGGCAGGAATTTCCCCATGGAAAGGGTGGGAAGAGCTGCCCAGGGAGCTTTGGAGTGCCCATCCCTGCAGGTGGCACCTGGAGGTGGCACTCAGGGTGCCAAGGTGGCCATGGGGCACAGCTGGGACTGCAGGGGCTGGGAGGGCTTTGCCAGCCTCGGGGATTTGGGGATTCCCTGTGGGGCACAGAGGGACAACCCCAGTCTGCTGCTCCCAGGTCCTTGCAAAGCTGCCCCAGTGATTTTGAAAGGCTCAGTCCCAGCCCCAGGGCACTGCAGGAGCTTCATTTTCCCTCTCACTTGATGTAAAGAGAAAGAAAAGAGCAGCACCTGAATCCCCTACAGCTGAATTCTTGCAAATATTTCACTACAAATTCAATTTGTAGGTCTGGCCTGAAGTCAAAGAACCCACAATGTCCCCAAGGGCCAGTGCTTTTAGTTGAGTCAGTTTTTCAACTCTGCAGCTCAGGATGGGAAAAGAGAGAGATCCTCTTATTCAAATATCAATTCATGCACAAAATATTGACAGAGTGGAGTCAAACCTGGCTCCATCCCCTCAGAAAGCACTGAAAATCACAAGTGGGATGTGCTGTTCCATTTCTGCAGCTGTCACCAAGTGGCCATGATGGAGAGGAATTATTTTTTTATGGTAGAAATGAAAGATGTATGACTATTTAAATACTGTCCTAAAAAGAAGGAAAATCTGTGCAGTTGTGCATCTTTCCAGACTTGAGCTTCTGGCATAAAACACATCCCAAATCCAGGTAAACCCATGGCAAACCAAGAAAGAATATTTAATTTATCTATTAAAAAAATATCAAAATCTACTGATTGGTACCATGTAGAAACCCTGGGTAGGCAATCAGAGAATCACAGAACATCCTGAGCTGGAAGGGACCCACCAGGAATCCAAGGACACCCCAGCAACCCCTCCACGAGCCAGAGAGGAGGAGAAACCAGAAAACAATGCAGATAATGATGATGAATCTGAATAATTACAGGGAAACAACGCTCAGAGAACCCAGCAAATGTCCCTGAGGGGCAAAGGGCTCCAGGCTGGCAAATCCCTCGTGGCGAGCTCGGCGTGACCCAGCAACCAAACAACAAACACGTGTCAGCCTCTTTTGTAGGAAGGATTTAATTCTCTATACATGGAACTAATTGGAAAGGCTGTATTACAGTTGTTAAAGCTGCAGGTTTTGTTTTTTTTTTTTTTATATATTTATATAATTTACATTCATAGTGATGAAATACTGAAGTGCAACTGAATAAGGAGCTTCACTTGTCGTCCTTTGCACCGCAGGACGGGTGGGGAGCAGGGAGCTGGGCTGGGAGTGCTGCCAGCAGGGGCTGGGGACAGTGGGACACATAAAGCAGGAGTAAGTCCGTGGTAAATCGTTAGTAACGGGGCTCTGGTGGTGCTGGGACAGGGCACTGCCAGCACCAGGCAGTTCAGCACTAACGCTACAGACACGGACACTGAGCAGCTACAACTGCAACCACGGAAAGCTCCAGCTCTTATGGATTGGGATCGATTCCACAGTCTAGCTTCAAAAAACAAAATAAAAATGTAAACATCGGAAATGAATTGCAGGGAGATCGTTCTATACATTCGTTCTTGTCAGGAGAATGACTCGTTCAGAACGTGGGTGCTCCACGGAAAGCACGGGGGGGATTCTGTCACCCCCCCAGGGGGAAAATTCCCCATTCCCTGCCCCAGGAATGGGACAAGGGCAGGGACACACAAAATCCGGGCTGTTCTCACTGTTTGCAGCTACAATAATGTGCAAAATCAAACCAACAGAGCTGGGTAAAAAAAAAAAAAAAAAAATCACCCCGGCTTTGCCTCTGGGCATTTCCCCTCTCCACAATGGGTTACACACTCAACAACAACACCTGGTACAAACAGTACAGGAACTACAACAAAATACCTGGAACTGGGCACATTTAAACCTCCTTAAACTGATTTAACTCCTTCTGTTCTTTTGTAATTAAAAACCAAACAAAAAAACAAACAAACAAAAAAAAAACCAAACAAAAAAAAAATTAAAATAATAATTAAAAAAAGACATATTGACAACACTGGACAAGTGAACAATAAAAAAGAAAGATACATAAAGTCTCCAATTCATGGACATTTGGAACAATTTTAATAGCACATGCAGCATTCCTTGATAGTGGGTCTTTTTGCACAAACAAAATCGCAATGAAGAAATTTAATTTATACTTTTCCTTTAAAAGGCTAAAATATCTCTTTAAAAAATAATTTTTAAAACTACCAAAAGCACCTGTGCAAAGGTGGAAAAATTAGTTTGGTAACTCTGAAAGCCACAAAAGGACCCACTATCCTCTGATTTTTTTTTATTTTTTTTTTGCGTGTGTGTGGTTTTGTTTTGTTTTGTCGGTATTTTTTTTTGTTTTGAATCAGTTTAATTTTGTCGGTAATTAACCCAACCATTGCGATTCCATGCAACTAAATGTGAAATGAGGTAAAACTGCTGTGCAGTGTGTTCTTGACTCAGAAGGCAGTAGATGATCATGCTGGAAGGCACATGATCAAGGCTGCATCTCCCATCATCCCTCTTGGGCACTGCTATGGGATAGTGGGTCTCTTTGAGGACTTTCAAGCCTGAGTGGGGGATGGACAACATATGATTCCTAGAAAAAGGAGGAAAACAACACATAAGCAAAACAAAACAAATGAGCAAATTCAAGCTAGGGAAAATGAGGCAAAGGCATGGAGCAAAAAATAAAATAAAATTTAAAAAAAAAATTTAAAAAAAAAAAAAAGATTGGGCGGGTGGTTTGGGGAGGGAAAACGTGGGGATGGGAACGAAAGCAGAAGCGAGCAGAGCAGAGCAGAGCAGAGCAGAGCAGAGCAGGGGGGATGCACAGGAGGAGCTGCGGGGCTGGCAGTGCCCGGGGACACTCACACTGCTGGCTGGGGTCCGTGTCCGTGGTCAGCTTCACGTAGTTGGACGGGAAGAGCCCCACGTGGCCATTGACCTCCCCCTTCCACCAGTCGGGATCCTCCCTGTTGAGCACCGTGATGATCTGGCCCTTGCTGAACGCCAGCTCGTCGTCGTTCTGGGCGCTGTAGTCGTACATGCCGATCACCTGGCACACTGCGGGACACACGGCTCACCTGGGGGCTGCAGCCACCCCTCGCACCCCTCACACCCCTAATGTCACCTCCCAGTCACCTCCCACACCCCTCACACCCCACACACCCGTAATGTCACCTCCCACACACCACACACCCCACACACCC